AGAGCCCCACTTCCCGCTGCTCTGCGGCGGGAGCGCCTGGGCCTGAAGCAAAATGTACGTTAAGCTCTGGCCTAGTAGAAAATAGAAGTTTAGACCAACCTTTTGTGTGGAGGTCGTAATGCCTACAGGACTTTTTGAGATCTACTTGCGTTTCTCTGTGTCTGGCTTTAGTACAATTGAATTTTCAGTTCTCTTACTGACTTACCTGTGGGCTGTGATACAACTGACTTGTCAAGTCAATGAAACGCTTTTATAGACTGCACAAAACCGTAGAAATGGTTTATAGTGAGGAAGCATGGATGACCTGAGTCCATTTCAGAGAAAAGAAGTGGTCAGAAGATAGGAGATGCATGGTGGCCATCATCTGGGGCTGTGAAGAAATTGAGATTCCAGTCAACTGGCATACATAGAACTAAGTGCTGTCTTTTGTTCATCCTCTGGATTTGAGGTGAAGGACTAGTGGTTGGGGTGCCCTTACAGGAGGGAAAGTATTTGTTTAAAATTCCTCCTGAGTCCTATTAAAGCAAGCAGAGGCTGGTAATATGATTATTTCTGCAACACCAAAAGCTTGACATCTTAAATATAAAAACAGAGGAAAGCTTGTTTTTTCTCTTGTATGTTGCCAAATGTTAACAAGAGACCTAGAGCGAGGCAGTCGGTGCTCTGGAGAGCTGATGGTTAAGAAGCCAGGGGTCCAGCTGAGGAACTTGGGGTGGAATAATTTGGAATGTAACCAACAAATAAATTCTCTTTTGGGAAGCAAGACCTGGCTTTAATGGGAATGAAAAAAATCACCTTCTTGCAAACTGTTCTGTGGGTCATTCATTCTGTAAAATCTTCCCTTGTGCAGTCCTAGGCTGAAGCTCAGCAGACCCCAAGGTAAAGTTCTAGTGGTTTCTATCAGCTAGATTTCCCTCCGAGAGCTTCCAGCTGACTGGAGACGTGCGAGGGGAAAAGCTTTGGTGGGAGGCTGAGGAAATGCTGGTGGGGTTGTCTCTCCCAATTTCACCTTCAAAAGGCTCCCTCCTTTCTGGTATTGAAGAGAGCTCTTTAAATAAACAAGAGGCTCATCTTGGGCAGCAGTGCCACATGCAGCTCTTGTTGTCACCGGGACCCGGGGACACCCGCGTTTGTACAGTCAGATTCCCATTTCACCAGGAGCTCTGCGCATCTTTTCCTCCACTTGTAGCCCCTGTCGTTATCCCCGTGTGTCTGTGTGTATTTGCTGGGACACTGGTGGTGCAGAGGGTCTTACTTCTCCGTTCCCTATGTGCAGGTGAAGAAGATGGGTGGCTTAGGGCTGCTGGCTATGGACGTGCCGGAGGAGTACAAAGGAGCAGGCCTCGACTACCTGGCCTATTCCATCGCCGTGGAGGAGATCAGCAGGGGCTGCGCGTCCACGGGTGTCATTGTCAGCGTCAATAACGTAAGTGTCCGGGTTGTGTGTGAGGGACAGGCGTGGAACCGAGAGTTATTGGAGAGGGGTGCGCGGGAGAAGTGGGCTCTGTTCCTGTGGTGGGCTCTGGTGTGTTGGAGAGCACTTAGACGTTAGGGAGTTACAGGGTTGCTTGTACCCTCAAGAGGCACTGACTCAACTCTCAATTCTTAAAGTCCCTGTATTTAGGGCCAATACTCAAGTTTGGCTCCGAAGAACAGAAGCACAAGTGGATTGCTCCCTTCACCAGCGGAGAGAAGATCGGATGTTTTGCCCTTAGTGAACCAGGTGATTGACTGTTACCGTTCCTGTTGCAAAGAGCTTAGGGTAGCTTCTTCCCTTAGTCAGGTTTAGGGTGGACTTCAGGTCTGTCAAGTTCTAGCAGTTCATAGAAAGGTGGTTTGTTTATAGCAGTTCTGCGGAAATGAAGTCTCAGTGCCCAAGGTACTAACTGCCGTCCCCGTGGTCCGTGCTGAAAATTGTCATCCCCTCTGTGTGAGCAGAGCTCTGGAGACGGACAGGCCTTAGGCACACGGGCCTTTCCCCTTCCCGTTCGGGTCCTGCGGGAGGGACTGTGGTGACACTACCGCAGTTACAAGAGGTGATGGGACGGGGTGGGGGCTGTGAGGTGACGCCCCAGGCTAGTGACTGCCTGAGCCTTGTTTGCTGGTGCCTTGCTCAGGAAACGGCAGCGACGCAGGGGCGGCGTCCACGGTGGCACGCCTGGACGGCGACGAGTGGGTTCTGAACGGCACCAAGGCCTGGATCACCAACGCCTGGGACGCCTCGGCCTCGGTGGTGTTTGCTACTACTGATAAATCCATGAAGCACAAGGTGCGTTCCGTGGGTCAGCCAGGAAAAAGGGGTGGGAGTGAGGAGCTGTGCAGGAGCAGCACGAAAAGGCTCTGGGGACACTGTATTTTGAGCCGTGCAGGCACTGAGCAGAGGAGGGGCTGACGGGCGCTGGCTTTGTTCTGTCTTAGCTCTCCCCTCCCTTCTCCTGGTTACCTAGACATGGGGCTTCTAGGAAGAACGGTTGGAGGGAGCCTGTTGACAGCCAGATAAGCGGGAAGTCGGCCCCATTCCCAAGAGTTTGGGTCTTGTTGCAGGGCATTAGCGCGTTCCTGGTTCCCATGCCAACCGCTGGGCTGTCACTGGGGAAGAAAGAAGACAAGCTGGGAATCCGAGCCTCTTCCACTGCCAACCTGATATTTGAGGACTGTCGGATACCCAAGGCCAACCTACTGGGGCAGCTGGGAATGGGCTTCAGAATCGCCATGGTAAGAGCTGGCTCGGGGTGCAGCTGTGGTGGTGTAGAGCTCAAAGCAAGGCTAAAAGCGGTGGTGAGACCTGCTGGCTGTGCTGGCTAACATTAAGCACTTGACCCCTCTTGCCAATGTGGGAGAAATCATTCACAGAGCTTCATGAATCGTTAATTTACCATAGACCCTTGACAGCACTTTTATTGTCGACTCAACGTGGCATTTCTTGGATGAGGGACTGCTGATACTGCTGAGGTGGTGTGTCAGCAGGGGTGGTGTATTTTAATTTTTCTGCTTTCCCAACCCACTATTCCTCCAGTTTTTACCTGTAGATAAAGGGAAAACGTGGCATTTTCCCTAAATACTGTGGTAGAGTGTCTTGGAGGCGCAGGACAACCTCTGGATAGTGTCTAAAGGTGGGTGAAATCTGAGTTACGGCATGTGTGTGACTTCTGAGGGGGAGCCAGGCAGCTGCGGAACAGCGCGTTCCCTGCGGTGGCACACTCCCCGTTGGAAGTGTTCCTTGCGCTCTGCAGGGGCAAAACACCAGTTGTTGGCCTGACTTTCTGAAAAAGGCTGAGCTTCCTGGAGAACAGCCTGTTCCATTATGTCCAAAACTAAAAGAGCCCATCAGGCACCAACCGCTTTTTTAAGACGCTCAGCCCAGGACTGAGAAGATGAAGCCTTTTCTTGCTGCGCTGTAAATTCTTCCTGTGCGTAGTGAGGCAGGGAAGCAGTTAAAAGCCCAGTGGGCAGGTGGCTGAGGTAAGTCACGTTATTGACTCAATTCACTGGTCATTTCTGAAAAATGCTTGGTGAGGGCAAAGAGGAAAACTGACCAGATTGCTTTTTTTGGTTTTTTTTTTGGTTCAGTGACGTGAGCCAGGGGTCTAGCTGAAGGGGATCTTTTCAGCCTCTCCTAGAGCACATGCCCCTTGTGCTGTTTTGTTTATTTGCATTCACTCCCTCCCTCCCTGCCCCCAGCTAATAAGAAGCACACCCCTCCTTTCTGCTTTACTACTTGTAACCCGGCTTCTCTCTGCAGTGCCCAGGACATCTTACATCTCTGTTCGTGCCTAACCAGGACTATTCTGAATCAAGGCGGTCTCTGACCAGAGAATACGAAGGATGCAGCAGCTTCCCAGCAAGATCAGAAATGCGAGCGTACTGGTTTTGATCAAGTGTGACTTGACTGACTTAACGCATACATTTTGTGTCTTTCTCAGCAAACTCTGGATGCAGGAAGGATTGGCATCGCCTCACAGGCTCTTGGAATAGCACAGGCAGCTCTGGACTGTGCTGTGGATTATGCTGAGAAGAGAACGGCCTTCGGGTCGCCCATCACAAAGCTGCAGGCCGTGCAGGTACCAGCTGGGCGATGGGGCAGTGCCACACGTTGCTGGTGCTGGTGGAAAGGTCCGTGAGGGCGCTCGGGCACGGCTGCAGGCATGCAGTGCACTTTGCACTGTCCGGGATCAGCAGGGTAATAATTTCTGTTTTCAAACGCCGTTAAAACTGATCCTTGGGCTGGAGGCGCTCCTTTGCCAGCAACACGGGCCTCAGGGGTGGGAGACTTCTGCCGTACGTGCTTGTGCAGGCAGAGCCCGCCGCCTGCCACAGCGGCAGCGTGCGTTTGTCCTTGCAGTTCAAGCTGGCAGATATGGCTGTGGCCTTGGAGGGCGCGCGCTTGCTGACCTGGAGAGCCGCCATGCTGAAGGACAACGGGAAGCCCTTCACAAAGGTACGCCCGACCC